AACAATATATTGATCATCTGAATTTAGCAGGCTAAATAAATACTGGTAGCTTTTTTTAAATGCTTTCCTTCTATTACTATGAGGTAATTAATTGAATTGTATGTGGTCACAAAATAAACAAAAAAAAAAATAATAAGAATTCGATGATTCTTACGAAAAATGGTAGAGTTGGTAATAATAATAAAACTATCTAATAAAAACGAAATAAAAGAATATTTATGGTGACGAATTACCTCCTCTCTCTGAGGTCATTTCTGGGTAATAATCGTTCACAAATAAATATATTTGATTTGTACTCCAATAAATAAATATGTAATGAAAAATATAAAGTTTGCATTTTTCCATCATAGTTAATATTAGTATATATTATTAGCAAATAAATCGGGAATGGTCAATACAGGATAATTAATCCAATAGTAACAAAGGACAATTTCCAAGAACAGTAGAATGGCTGAAAATAACCTTTAGAAGAGGAATAGGGTAAATTGTAACCTGATGTTTTATTTAAATTGGTTAATGGTGTTTTAAAATTGTAATTGAAACAAAAAGCATCAATGTCTCCATTAAGAATAATTAATGAATAATAATAATAAAAAGGTTTGGTTTAACATAGAATTAAAAACGTTTGTAATAATAACAAGTATTTGAATGTTGAACTTGAATGAGCTAGTGAGCTTGTACAGATCAAATTACACAAAAAAGGTTTTTACAAATTTGGGAATTTAATACTGAACAAAAAAAAAAATAATCACAATTAAAAATTTTAATTCAATTTATTTAGTCCATCACTGTTAATTTTTCTTAATCTTTTGTATTCACTTACAGCATCTTTTGAACATTTAACCTGAGAATAATCAAATTTTAAGATCTGAAGCTTGTCCAGCAAATTCACTCTACTCAAAGCAACATATACTTGGCCTTCTGCAAAAATGTTTTCATCTACAGATATGGTTATGTGGGGTAAGGTCAACCCTTGTGTTTTGTGAACAGTGAGTGCAAAGGCATTTTGAAGTGGAAACTGCTTCCTAGAGGCTCTCTTTCCATCAATCTCAAAATAACTCATTTCTTTTACAACAACCACTTTGCATATGCCATTGATTGTGGGAAAAGCAACTTCTATATTTTCATCATCAATTATTTTTGTCACAATTCCTACTGTGCCATTACAAATATTTTGTTCAAATAATTTGTTGTTAAGGAACATAACTCGGACACCCTGTTGTAGATATACTTGTGTTGGCAAATTTGTGGCTTTTTTGAATTGATTTTCATAATGGTCTCTGTTTTGTAAAATTTCAAAATTTAACATGTCTTCAGATGTTGAAGTGATTGGTTCATTACAGTTTTCATCAAATGGAATGGATTCACACATTAACATGTTAATCTTGTTTGCAGCTTGACAAGTGCCAACTACATGTGTGGTGTTGAAAATTTTATCAGGACTGCTTTCAGTATCAATTTTGGACTGAATGATTTTTCTGCTTCTTTCTGATATTTCACCAACCAGTATTTCTTGTAAGATGTTATAGAATTCTAAATCATCTTGCTGCCTTTGTGGTCTTGACAAGAACAAAGGGAAAAATTTTTTCCAAGCAGGTGAATTAAAAACTTTTTGTGGAAGAACTGGAGGTAATTGACATAGGTCCCCTACCAAAGTGTCGGGACACCACCAAATATGAAATTATTAGCATGTATTTTAGCAAAAGTATTGCTAATGAATGTAAAAAGGTCACCATCTACCATTGAGATCTCATCAAATATAATTGCATCAACATTCTTTAAATTTGCTTTAGTTGCAGGATTTGAAAAGATTAAAGTTTCATAGCACCCTTCCCAATATCTTATTTTCAATTCAGAATGTATTGTTTTTCCACAATATTTTGTGCTGCAACTCCTGTGGGGCACATTAGAAGGTATTTTTTATTTTTGGATTGTAAATAATTTATTATTTGCTTTGTCATAAATGTTTTACCAGTTCCTGCAGATCCACTTAAAAAAAAATAAGGATATTTTCCATCATTTATTCTACCCCATGAGTTACATAATTCACTATATACAATGTATTGCTCATTTCCAAGGGATAATGAGATATTAGAATCAACATAAGGATGGTGTTTTTCTAGGGATACTAATTGTTGGAATATTAAATCTGATAAGTCATGATTTCTAAGCTCAGGTATGATTGAGTCCAGAATTGATCTGTATGTTGTTGAAAGCTGATTTTCTCTCTCCAAATAGCTGTTTCTTATTGAATTGATTGCTTGATTATATCTTATTGGAAGCATGGCTTGAAATCGTTCTCTGCAAGTGGAATAAGCACCTTTCAGTTCTTGTTCTGATCTTGCAGGGATTTTCATAATGAGGTGCTGGTAGAAAAAGGGTTCACGATCCTCTGGAATTGGAGTTCTTCTTTGAACAATGATTCTATTTTTTTTATCCCTAGTGTAAAATAGTTTTGACCTTGGACCAGGTTCTTTTGATCTAATAGTATAATTTCTAAAGTAGTCTGGGTATGTGATATTATGGAAATTATCATGTTCAGGTCTATCAAAATATTTGTCAATTGCATCATCCCAATAAGGAGCTTCTTCATCTTCATCACTTTCATCATGATAACTGTCATTTTCTAATAAATGAATTGGCTTAACGGATCTTATTCTATATTCAGAAGGAGCAGAAGGAAAGTATTGGACAGAAACAGAACACCTAGCCATAGGGTATTGTAATAAAAGAATTACAAGCTCCATTGCACCCAGCCTTCTTGCCATTACATGTTTTCTATATTCATCTTTTTCATCAATGTCAAATAACTCAGAAGGCTCAGGCTTAGTTACATATTTTGTGATATACTTGGCAAATCCAGTAGAAGTGACATACTGAAAATTAATGTGGCCTTTCCAGAGCAATAAAGTTTCTGGGTAATATGGTACAACCATTCTATCTTCATCCTTTGTCCTTTTGTAAACATAACGTAGTGAATTCGGTGGGCAACATGTTGTTTCAGACAAAGGTTGGGGAAATCCTTTGGTGCATTGTTCATTGTCATAACCTTGTGGTCTGCACCTTTGATTACAGTGATGAATTTGGAACATCTTAACTAAGTTATGTAATTCAGTTTCTGTGTTTTGATCTGGGAGATCTGCTCGAACAGTATTCAATGAGATCAATTCAGTACTTTTTTTTTCTGTATAGGCAAATCCATGAGTGTGAATTGATCCTCGATGTTGAAATTCATCACATTCAAAGTAATGTATCCATTTTCCCCATTGAATAATTTTTGGGTTTTTCCATAATTTATTACGGACATTGGTCAGCCTATGTCGATAATGTAAATAAGTATGTAGAGGGAGATTGCTAGGAACAGTATTACCATTGTCAGAAATTTGCAGGATTTGATGTGAATGTGGCCACTTGTCTTCACCCATCATTAAAGTATAGAAAATTTGAGGTAAACCATATGCATTGACCATTGTGTTGACTTGATGCTGTTTTTTTTTGAAGAAAGGAGCTGCAGTTCTTAAATTTGATGGTAATGTAGTGGTTATGGATTCATTTAAAACATTCCAATTATTGTATGAACTTTTTGTAATTAGGTCAAGTCGTGTTGGATGATGCTCTCTACTAACATTTCTAGTAGCCAATATTCTATTTTTATTCTGAAAATTTCGTTTCTTTTCAAGGTTCAAGTATGACCAACTTGGCCAGAAATAGTGTGAGCGGAATCGATCATCAGGGCACAACATTCTTATCTTGATATGGGGGTGCTCTAGGAAAACCAGGCTTTGAGTTTCATGTTACGTGTAATTTTCATATGTTTTTGTTATGAAAATTACACATAACACGAAACTCGAAGCCTGGTTTTCCTAGAGCACCCCCCATATACTTTCCATAACTACCTTTAACTGGTTCGAATCCTAGTATTTTTTTCACATCTTCATAGTGACCGCATCCATTGGGAAAGAGATCAGGGAACATCAGGGCCTCCAGATCTGGGTTACCAAATAATATTGGATAAGAATCATTGTTTCTTACTATTGAGCCTGCTATCAAGTGGTTATAGTTTGCATCTTCATCATGTATATCTGTTGGAAATGAATCATTTGGAACAACTAAATCAGGTGGTCTTGGGACATATTAGGTAAGGTACTTCTATATGTGTGAGATGATGACATGTTGTTGTTGTTGTTGTTGTTATTGTTTATTGACTGCTGTGCTAAAGGTAGTTGAAGTGGTACAGGTTCACCTGGTAAAGGGTGTGTAATGTTAACATCAGTGGCATATTTTTTTATAAGTCTGTTGTTTTGTCTAAGCCAATTTGAAGCAGGAATCAAAGCTTCATGGAACCATTGTGAAGGCTCATTGGCATTCAGAAAAGCTCCAGTTGTTCCAGAATATAATTTCAGAGCATGATAGTTATGTGTTATATTGATTTGTCCTTTCAGGTGAACATAGCTTGTGTATGGATTAGATCCAGCTGCATGACCCAATGAGCAATTCATATGGACAGGTAAAAGGTACTTACAATGTAACATAGGAACATTTTGAATTGCAGCAGGAATAGGCACTAATATTGGAGGATATCTTCTGCTTTTTTCATTTTTGCATCCATTACAAATGGCAACTTGTTTCACTTTTTTATTATTTTCTCTTGTGAATGGATTGATATTAGGAAACATTAATGTCAGATTATATGTTTCATTTTCATCATATGGTAGCCATTTAACATAAGATATCATCATAAGAATTGAGCAGTAAGCACAAGGAATATTTGGATATTCATGTAATATTTTGTT